TATATATATATATATATATATATATAACGGTCAAATCTTCAATATCACATTCAAAAATATCACTTTTACTAATTGTTTTAAAAGCTAAATGTATATTCTCTTAGATAGATTTATAATATCAAAGCAATATAAATGCAAAAAAAAAAAAGATGTTAGATATGTAAATACATAGTAATTGGGTGATATGTATGTAAAGGCCCTATTATTTTTTCTCTTTTGTTTGAAGTTAATAATATCAAAAGAAATATTGTAGAGAGAATGAAACTTTTCCATATAAATATAATGGGAGGAATTTTGTCATCCAAATTAGATTATGATCTTGACGTTGATGTCTTATTTAGTTGTCTGGGTATTAAGGAAAGAGTAATGAGGTTAGAAAGACCTGTAAACATTTTTGATGTTACATGTTATTTTCAACTATGTGATCTTGAGCTGAAAGTCCATAAAATATCCTGACATAAAAACAAAGATCGGAATAAAATCTCTCTCTTTTATGGAGAATTTTTTTACTATCAATTAAATTGTTACATAAAAAATGAATACAAAGAGCTGCCAACAAAAAATGCAAAGAAATGCAATATAGGGGATAACAAAAACATGAAAAGTGAGAAAGCAATATCCATCTTTGTGATGAGGAGCTATCCCTCAATTCGATAATTTCCCAAAATTATTAGGCGACTTGATAAGTTTAAGTTGATTTAAGTAGATTTAATTCTTGAAAAGTCCAATATCACATGTTGAGGGTAAATTATCTTTGTAGAATTTGTTCTTATTTAGCTTTCATTCAAATGAGTATAATTTTTTATTTTTGAATGAGCAGTGAAGTATTAATTATAAAATAATTTTATCAGCATGTTTAGCATAAATCTGCAAGCAATTTTAATTCTTTTAGGCTTTTTGGTTTCTTTGTTTGGTTTTTTTTTTTCAGGAATGTGGTTTTGTACCTTCTGTTATCAGTTATGGGTGTCTTATAAATTTGTACGCAAAGGTAGGCTTGTTTAAATGTGCATATTTTAATGGTTTTTCTACCTTAATGATATTTATTATTAGATTCTAAAAATACAAAGAATCTGTTAGATGTTACGCTTCACATGTGCCATGTAGCCACTTTAATGGTTCTCGAGC